TCGTCGTCTTGTCAAACGTTGTCGATAACGGATCTGCAATATTGATTTGACCCGGAACATGAACAGAAAAACGAAAAGATTGCATACGCAATATCCATCTTTCTTGACGCTGATTTGGGTGTGATGATTCGCTAAAGATGTGTACCAGCGGCTTGTGATCCGTGAAGACAGTGAACTCAAAAACTTCTCAGATACATTTCAAAGCGTTCAGTAGCCCAGACTATGGCAAGAGCCTCTTTATCCAGCGTTGAATACTTCTGCTCCATTTTGGTTAGACTTTTACTGGCGTAGCATACGGGTCTTGATTTAGATTTAGCGGTTTGCAACAAGACAGCCCCAAGGCCTTTCTCACTAGCATCCGTTACCAGCATGGTTGAATAACTAGGATTATAGAAAGCTAGATTTGGACCAATAAAATTTATTCCCTTTTACGATAATTTCCCCTGGGGGGGGGGGGGGGGGCAGTCGCAGTAGATAGCTTAGGAATACACTTCCCTACGTAGTTTACTAGACCCAGGAAGCTACGCATTTCGGTCACGCTCTGAGGACGACGAAAGTTCTGGATCGCGATCACCTTGTCATTTGTAGGCAGAATTCCATCAGAAGAAAGTTGATGTCTCATGAAGCAAACCGTAGATTTACCGAACTCGCATTTCGATTCATTGATAGTGAGGCCATGTTCACGTTGACGATCAAGGACAGCTTTGAGCCTTTTATCGTGTTCTTCTTGGTAAGACCCATAGACCAGCATATCATCTATGAAGACTTTAACATCTTTCAAACGTTCCAGGTGCGGCATTATTTCCTGGAAGGTTGGTAAAGGATGTTTCTCCGGAAGAATAGCCTTGTTCGCTTTTCTCATATCCACACAAAGTCGCACATTCTTGCCGTGGTCTTTGATGGTTACTACTAACAGACACGCCCAAGTGATATTCAGGGGCGCGAGTTCGATGATATTCTGTTTCAAATTTTCGATTCGTTCATCGACTAGCTTCTTTAACGGGACCGGCAACAAGTTGGTACGGAATGGTCAATCTTGATGTCAACCTGACCATGCTTCAGCTTTCCGATCGAGAGTTTCTCCACATCACTAACATTGCACAATTCGCTGTAGATTTCGAGGATGCCCAAGTCCATCGACGTTTTCTTGGTCAAAAGGTTTCCTCCTTTGTTTCCTTCGACGACATAGATTTCATGATACACTGTAGCATTCTTCGTTGCAATATCAGCTTTAATTATCTTCTCCACTTTCAGCTTCCCATCACCATACGCCCTCAATACCTTATCCGACTTTTCTACCTTGCTCACTACACATTCTTGTCCTTTTAGCCATTTCCAGGTTCCACGAGTAATTACATTTACGTGAGCTCCGGAGTCCACACTCAAATGTAGTTCCACGCCACCAACGTAACATGTTACCTTGTCTGCATCAGTGCTGGTTGCATATACGTGCTGCACATCGTTCTGAGCTGCTTCACCGCTTTCGTTCTCCGATGAATCCGATACAGAATCATAGTCTGCACGGACTTGACGTACTCGAGATTTGCTAGTTGTTGCCTTCACAGTTTTGGTCTTGCACATTTTTTTAAATGACCCACGATTCCACATTTGTCGCATACTTTACTTTTGGCCGGACAGTTTTTGTCGTTTACGAAATGTCCTGGGTTTCCGCATCGGAAACATGTTTCGTGGCGATCCAGGTGGCGAGCAACTTTCGTTACCAAATTGACAGATTCCTCTTCGACAGACTTTTTCATTTACTCTCTATTCCTCATTACCGTTTCCAAAATCCGACCTTCATCTGCTATTTCCTGCACAATCATCAGCTTTTCTTCAATATCGATTCCCGCAGAGAATCCAAACAACACTTATCGAAGACCTGTTCGGTAATCCGCATTTCCAGGGCCCCTCCATAATCGCAAAGTCTGCCCTGATCCCGAAGACATAACTCTCGCAAGGTGCTGATCGAACAAGTATTTAACGGACAATTTAAAAGTAGGTAGTTGGTAGTGCCGCCACCTGTGGCGCTCATAGTCTGTTCCCTTGAGTTTGACGTTTACACACTACCGCCATCTGTTCAGCGTAGTGCCCACCACAGTTTACTCAACAGATGGCGGTAATATTTAAGCGACGATGTTTTACAGTGTAAATTATTCAATTTGTTATGTCTGTTTGTCTGTGATATAATCCTACATTTATTGGTAGTATTAATTTGTATGATTCAATTGTTACATGATATATGGACGATGGAAGTCAAAAATGAGTTACGTTATATCGAGGTACTACACTATGTTTGTTTTGATTTGCTATAACAGTTTGACAGATACAAAGAGGGGTTCGTGAATTTTCGAGGGGTGCATCGATTAGCTTGGGACCGAAGATAGTACCAGAGCTGAGCCAAAAATTTGAGCACATTTAATCGAGACCTTCTGGTCTTAGAGTTAACTCTATGGTAATGCTATGGCTATGGAAATTATATGCTGTTCAAACCGACCAACACGTTGTGGATTGTGAATGGAATCGTTGTAAAAAGTGCCTACCGGTTGCCTTTGATGATAATCCGGAAGGCCACGCAAACAACCTCAAGGAAATGGATCCTAATTGCCGGAATGAAACTATATACCGAGAAAATGTTATCCGATCGAAAGTTAGGATGGGGTCGTGGGCATCCAATCTCGAAGCGTACAATGAACAATCAGAACAGGATCTTACAATGTCGTTGTTATGCATAATAAACAATAAATAATAAAAGGTTAACATAGAGGGGGTGCCAGATTCAAATCCCGGTCTTGGCCAAGATCTTTCGGAATGGATTTTTATTCATTTCCGCAGCGTTTGTCTCGGATATTACATAGAATTTCGAAAGTCTCAGTAGTGTTGGGGATGTTGATACGTATTAAATCCATTTAGCCCATCAGATCTCGACCTATGTACTCTTTAACGCAATCATGGTGATCTTCAAACTGTTAATATCGAAACATAAGATGTTCATGAAAACTGAGTATATGGCCCTTATTACAAGTGTCACTTCATGGTGAAAACGAAGTGAAGTGACCACTTGTCACTCACGGTGAAGTGATTGCCTTGTAAATCAAATGGAAAACACTTCACCGCGAGTGATAAGTTGTCACTTCACCGTGAAGTGACATCGGTAATAGGGGCCTATTTGTCAATTTATTGGACCATCCTGAATCTCTGGACACAATTTTTAAAAATACATGCATGCAACGGAAACCACCAGTAACATCAACTTAATAACAATGTCCGGATGACGAACTAGCAGACAGTGGGCACCGTAGCTAAAACATACCCAACGGCCAGTTCAATTTGACCTACTTTTGACTAGTTTTTCTCCTTCTAATGTTGTCAAAAACGGAGGAGCAAAATCACCCAACAGGGGTAGTAAAGTGTGGGAATCCAACGTTGAATATAATCATATTTACCTACTTTTGGGTACAACTAACTTACTTTTGCGTAGAAAGCTACTGGAAAACTCCATACGAATTGCACACAATTAACTGAAAACTACTTTGACCCGCTTTACCTACTTTTGGGTTCCTGAACTATAGTGCCGAGATGAGTGGAACGAACCAAAGCAGCTGCTTTGGTAAAAAAATCATTCATTCACAAGAATGAAAAAGTATAGCCACAGACAGTGCTTTTCTTCACGCAGAAAAAAGTTTTTTAATTTCAATGATATTATGTATTAAAAACAACAACAAAAATTATCATTCCCCGGCTAATAACTTTTTTTATTGAATTCAACAATAAATCTTTATTGTTCGGACATAAAATATTGTTGTTTTCAAAATCTGTCAAAAACGCAATTAAAAATATATTTTGTTGAATTTACAATATTTATTTTCAAACAGACAAAATCTTTTTTTGATAAAAAAAAATAAGTTGCTACCAACAATAACTTTTTTTTATTCAAAAAAAAAAATTGCTGCAAATAACAAATTGTTTTTAATAATTTAAAAATAAAATTGGTTTGGCATAAATATTTTAATTTTTAATTTTCGCAGTTTTTAAATTCGAGAAATAATTTTCAATAAATTTAAAAATTGTTGTTGGTTTCATTTTCTATTTATTAACAAACGGTACAAATAGTGATTCAATAGGTTTATCAATTATACAAAAAATACCGAAATTATGACCTCTCATTAACGGTATGTAAATTAATAGTTTGCGTTTCGAAACGGGCAACGTTTCCACGGTGTATTGATTTGCTGGAATTGGGGAAAAAAATCGTTAAAACACGTATTAAAATGCAAATACTGAATTCCTTACAAAGAAAGCAACTTGTCCAAAAAGAACTTCTTCCGACGAGACTGGGAAGCCGAGCATGCACAGGCATTAAAAACACACACATACATTGACAAAATGAGCCTGTGTATGTTTTGGAAAAGTGTTGCTTTTAAATTTACAATATATTTTTAAAAAGTAGTTAAAATAATGTTTGAAGACAAAAATATATTTTATTGAATCTACAATATATTTGTTTTCAGAATTTGCAATGAAAACAACAAAAAAACATTTTTGAAGCTACAAAATATAAATATTGAATTCAAAAAAAGTTATATTTGACATTGCAAAATATTTCAATAATATTTTTTTTTGGTTCAATAAGGTCAATTTTCTCTGCGTGTTAAATTTAATTTATTCTACAGAAAATAATTGTTTCTTTTAAATCTTTTTACACTAAAACTGTTCATTATTGACCCTTCTCAACGAACATTTTTCATACCATTCAAAAGTTTACTATTTATATACAATTTGTATTCATGATGTAAATAGGGATTGAAACTATCAATTTGCTTAAAAAATCATTCGACTTTTCCACTGAACTTGGTATCGTTAGTGATGACTTTCCTAAGGTGGCCACACTGCCCCACTTTCCCCATACATCAGGAATAGCTGCAATAGCTAAATCACAAAAAATATCCACTCTTTCAATATGTATAACAAAAGCATTTAAAACACATTTCCATCCATTGCAGAACGGCCGTCCTGTTTACCCGCAAAGCCCAGGCCGCCCTCAAGAAGCCGGAAACCCCATCCAAGGAGGAAGCGGCCATCGCAGCAACGACGGAACTACTGCAGAAAACGGCCAAAAAGGCTACCCGGGGAAAGCGAGGCGGATCGAACAAAGGCAAACAGAGCACCGCAGCGGGGGCGGCGGGTGGCATCGGTGGTCCGGGGGATGGTGGCTTCCTCAACCTGCCGGGACCATCCGGAACGGGGCGAAAGTCGCTGGACACGTCGGAGAAGAAGTCCTTCGAAGCCATACCGGACAGTTTCCGGGTGTACCGCGGCGGTCAGGATCGGGAGATTTCCGACTCGGACGACAGCAATCTCAGCTTCACCGGCAGTACCTGCAGCAGCTGTAGCGGATTCAGCGGCAGCGGAACCGAGTCGGAGTTCGGGTGAGTTTGAAATTCTGCTGCTGAACCGAGTTAGGGCTGTAACAAACATCCATGATTTGCAGAAGTTCCAGCATGGATGATAACGAATCGTTCTGCGACTCGGAAATGTCCACCAGCGAAACGGAGGCGTTTCCGGAGAAACCCTTGCTCGAGCCGCTCAAACTAGTGTGGGCCAAATGCCGGGGCTATCCGTGGTATCCCGCATTGATCATCGATCCGGAAATTCAGAGTGGTTTCGTGCACAACGGAGTTCCCCTACCGGCTCCTCCGACAGACGTCCTCGCCCTGAAGGCCAACTACGATGAACACGTGTTCCTGGTTCTGTTCTTTGACGTCAAACGTACCTGGCAGTGGCTTCCGGCGAACAAGCTGGAATTGCTGGGCGTCAACAAGGAACTGGACCAGAGCAAGCTGGTAGAATCGAGGAAGCCCACCGAGAGGAAAGCGGTCAACAAGGCCTACCAGGAGGCACTGCACTATCACAGCCAGGTGTCCAGTGCCGATGGGCCGGCGGGGAAGCTTTAGGACGAGGTGAAACTGTTTAATTTTGTTGATGTTTTTGCTATTGAGTTTTGCGACACAGAATAATTGTTGGTCCCGAAGTGATCGGTAATCGCGGAAATACACACTATTGCTGCATGCGTTATTAGATAGAAGAGTAAGAGGCACCGCTAGAATTAAGTTTTAAAATGTACTACCTATTTATCATGTAGATTCTGATTCAATGTTTTATCGAACAGAGACGAGACGAATAAATTAGTGAGTATCATGGAATGAGGACGTGCTTTCTTTGTCTTGAAAGAACCAAACTGGCTTTATGGTTAAACTGTGATGTATTTTGTGATGTTTATCGTTTAACAATCGAGCAGGTCACCTCACTTGATTTTGGCCACCTCGTACAAGTACGCTCCCAGCAGTTTAGTCTGGAATAGAAAAAAAAAACAATGAATACTCAGTTCAAAAACGAGTTGCAATCATCAACCAACTTACCCCCTCGATGTAGTTGCGAACATCGATCTTTTCATTCTGCGAGTGAGCCCCATCGTCGGAAGCACCCATCGGCAGCAGAAGTACATTCTTGCCGGTGGTTTGCTGCAGAGTCAGTGTCACCGGAATGGATCCTCCTTCGCGGGTCATATCCGGTTCTACCTTATAGACATGCTTCGTGGCAACGCTGGCCGCGTTATAATGCGGATGATTCGGATCTTCGGTCCATGGATTTCCACCGTGAGCCATTCGAACGGCAAACTTGTTCGGAGAGCCACGTTCCGCCCACTTGGTCGTCAGGTACTCGGTAACGTACTTCTCCACCAGCTCCGGCGTCTGATCCGGAACGATACGGATCGAGAATTTTCCAATAACCTTTTTCGGGATGACCGTCTTCTGGCCAGGTTCGTAAAAGGCACCCTCAACACCGTGAATCGAAAGGCTCGGTTGACGCCAACGGTGCATCAGAATCTTGGTCTTATCTTCATTATGCATCAGGCGATCTGCACCCAACTGCTCACGGTATTCCGTCACATCGAAATCGATCGCATCGTAAATCTGCTGCTCGTTGGGAAGCAGTGGAGCAACCTCCTTGTAGAGATTCGGAATGAGAATCTTTCCCTCCTTATCGGCAAGCGTTCCCAGCAAGTACACCAAATCGTTCATGGCCTCGTAAACCGTACCGCCGAAAACTCCACTGTGCAGATCCTTTCCAGCGCATCCGACCTCAACGTCAAAGTAGCAGATACCTCTCAAACCATAGGTGATGCACGGCTTGGTCGTACCCAACCAATAATTGTCAGAAATGCACACAAAGTCCACATTGGATAGGAAGTCATTCTGCCGCTTGAACAACAGATCATCCAAACCCTCACTGCCGGATTCCTCCATCCCTTCGAAAACGAACTTCAAATTCACCGGCAGAGGCTCTCCAATCGCCTGGTACGCTTCGATGGCATGGATCCACCCCAACACTGGACCCTTGTCGTCACTGGCACCCCGGCCGTACAGCTTTCCATCCTTCTCGGTCAGAACGAACGGTTCCGTGTCCCAACCGTCTTCGCGAATCGCTGGCTGAACGTCCAGGTGACCGTACAGCACGACGGTCTTTTTGGCGGGATCCTACGTCGCATGGGGGTGATTGATATAGGGATAGAGATAGAGAAACAAAACGTATAACAATTGAGTGAGACATTTTTTCCCTAGGGGGGGATTAAGTCTTACAATGAGGTAATCGATTACTGATATGACATTGATTGTGGCACTCGAGTTGATAAAGCGACGACGTGGGGAGAGGGCAGATTCCACTTGCTTGGATAATATTTGAGCAAGTTGTTGTTACGATGTGACCGTGTTGGCTTAGAGATTTGGGGAACACCTCAGCTGTTCGGTTGTCTCTGGGACGGAATGATTTAAATGTTTGTGTCGAGTACATCATGCATTATTACAGAGGGTGAATATGGATCAAAGAGACGACACCTAATCTATTTGATTGGTTATCTGCTTGCACGATTGGAATGACTTCAAGAGCAAATTTGCATTATGTCGAAAGTAACTAAGTCGAGCTAGGATCACATCATATTTTTAAATTTATTCGCCAGTCAAATTGCTTTTTGACGTCACCCGATTTCTATGGAGACTCCGTTTGTCTTAAGTAACAGCGTAGAGAAACCCGTGAAAAGTGTACGTTCGTCGTTTCGCTTTCTCATTATTAAAGTGAATAAATCGAGCTGATTGTAGCTAAGATGATTTCGGTGGTCCTGAAATGATGTATGGATTGCACTTTGGCTTAAGTAAGATTAGGGAGCCACCAAACGACGGCAACTTTTGACTCTAAAACCAGTATTTTTTTAGCATGAAAGCTAGCGATCTGCTTCGTATGATTAAAACCCTGCTTAATATGTTAAACATTGCTATCAGTATGAGATTATATGTGTTTAATTGGAAATAGGAATAACTTTTCGGTCATCAATTCAAAACTTTATTTTTCTCGGATCGGTGCGAATGTTACTTTCGACATAATGAAAATTTGCTCTTGACTTGTGCTAATAGCGAATTTGTTTTTGATTCAGTTCCAACCTGGATCGGGTATCAATATTGCGTCTGCTTGTTGTCTGTCAAACGTCAGTTTGAACGTTTGAATTTGTATCCTGGATCGGGTTAAGGTTCGTACTGACAATAAGCTCGGGTTCGCACGGGTTGGAACTGGTTCTTCTGGGAAAAGTAATGCAAACTCTATGACTCATTCGTTCACTTCAATAAGGTACACCGGGGCAAATTGAAAAGCGGGGTAAGTTGAAACGGAACCCGTAGCTATATGCGGAGTTATCACTCAGATTGACTGTCAAATCATGTAGTTACAAATAGCTTAGCGTGCTCCTCAGCTTTGTTTATTTTAATTTTATATGAACTATACAACACACATTTTTTCTGCATTGCTTCAATCTTCTCAATGTAGTAGAATGTTCTGTATTTTACACATTTGTATACGCTAAGGAAGCATATCGAGGCTAGTTGGAGTGATGGTATACACGCTTATTCTGGTCAACTCAAAATTGAGTCGAATGTACTCATCTCTGCGGCAAGTAGGCTACTCAAAATTGAGTAGCCTTATGTTGACTCACTTTTGATTAAACGACGTTCTCACGTAAACTGATTCAAATCCACTCCATTTTTGCGGAGGGGATTTTGTTTTGATTTTTATTCAAGAAAATGAAAATTTCCTGCCCGGATTCATTGTACCGGAGCAGAAAATGGTTCAACACCGTTTCCCTAAGCAATTCCTACTTACCTAACGACATTTCCGCCGGTTTTGAGTAGAATATTCGCCCGTTTTAAATGACGTTTACTCCGACATGGCTGGATTTTTTTTTTCTAAGTCCAGGATTTTACTGACTGAATGACTTTTACTCAGTTTGACATTTCTGGTTTACTCAGTTTTTCACAACTCGATACATCGGATGAAAGTGAGTACGATCGACTCACCCAGTGAGTAAGCTGAAGTCAAATGAAGTTAGAAAAAATATCTTCAACTTGCCCCACATTTTAACACCCTAGGGGGCAAATCGAAATGAGTACAAGGGGGCAAGTTGAAATAATGGATATGCCATTCTCTGTACAAGCAATGCCTTCGATAAGTTGAGGATAGTTAAGAAACAGTGATGGGAGACTTTAAAAAAATACATTATTGAAAAAAATCTATTATTTTTATCACAGAAAAGGGAGGTCGAGTTATCTTAAGATTGGAAAATCTATTTTCCGCCATCAAACTACACACTTCGATCATTTTGCCGAGATGGGCACCACCGAGCAGCTCGGCATTTTATTTTTTATTCAGTGAAAAACTTGCCGAGATTCAGCAAACAAACGGGAATTCTGTCGAGGTCTCAGCTAACAAACAGAGTACACTGAAAGAAATCATCCTCCTGTAGTAGAATGAATTCACATTCAGTTGACTACAGTTTCTGGGGCTACAAAATGGTGAGTTGGCCTCTCGTTAAGTAGGTACTACATCAACATTTCCTTCCCTATCCCTAGTTATGGTAAAGATGGGCGTGGCCGGGTTATAGCGACAGTCATGCTTCTGTTACTCTTGTTTAGATTGGAACCAATGTTTATTCCCCAGCATTATTCCTGAAAGCGGTCTAACTGAGAATTTCAGAAGAGACGTGAGTGTCGCTAGTATCCAATCTACGAAGTATATCATAACAACGATAACGCTAACGCTAACAAAATGGTGAGTTGACAACCTGGAAGGAGCGGAATACCTAGCCCTGGTCCTCACAAGTTCCTACTTCACGCCTCCTCGAGTCATATGATAACAAAAGACTACCAGCGGAAACATGGACACAGCTGGGTGGCGTAGCCCGGGCAATGTTGCCAGTCCGGCAATAGCAAAGTGAAGAGGTGCGACGCGAACACTAGCGCTATAACCATAGTACGGTGATAGAGGAAATGCTTCACCAAACCCGAGCGTCTGTTCACCATGGAGGTGCGGCTCAAAATGGCGTCTGTTCTCCATGTTAGGAGCGGCTGATCACCGTCCTAGTGCCAGCGTGGGACTCTAAACAGAGCTGTGCACGATGGTCCCCCGGCGAGACAGAGGGTTGGGGCAGGCCCAACAAGCCGCACAGACTTACGCGACGAAATAAGGACTACGATTGGAAACTCAGAACATGGAACTGCAAATCGCTCGGCTTCCCGGGTTGTGATAGGTTAATCTATGACGAACTTCAACCACGCAACTTCGAAGTCGTAGCACTGCAGGAACTTTGCTGAACGGGACAAAAGGTATGGACGTGGGGCCTCCCTTAGCTCAGTCGGTAAAGGCACAGCTACAAAGCAAGACCATGCTGGAGGTGGCTGGGTTCGATTCCCGGTCCGGTCTAGAAATTTTTCGGGTTGGAATTTTTCTCGACTTCCCTGGGCATAGAAGTATGATTGGACTTGCCACACAATCATACCAATGCAAAAATGGTACAGGCATCGAAAGCTCTCAATTAATAACTGTGGAAGTGCATCTAGAACACTAAGTTGAGAGCACGCAATAAGCTAATATGAGATATGCAATAAGCTTGAAATGCGAAGAAGAAGAAGAAGAAGAAAAGGTATGGAAAAGCGGGCATCGAGCGGCTACTTTCTACCAGAGCTGGGAACCGGCTTTGCATCATCAACTTGCACTGCCCACACGAAGGGAGACCCGACAACGAGAAAGAAGCGTTCTATGTGATGGATGGAGCAGGTGTACGACGGCTGTTCGTAACGGGACGTCAAAATCGTCATCAACGACATGAACGCTCAGCATCCGGAGATGAACCAACGTCTGGCTGAAAATCTCCTTAATAAAGACAACCAACCATGAACGCTCAGGTAGGACGGGAGGCAATGTATAGACCGGCAATCGGGCCAAACAGCCTGCATGCCGCATCGAACGTCAACGGCCAACGCTACGTGAACTTTGCAGCCTATCGGGGTATGGTTGTTCGAAGTACCTTTTTCCCCCCACCCCGCAAGGATATCCACAAAGCCACCTGCAGATCAACTGCCCAACACACAGAAAACCAAATCGATCACGTTCTAATCGACGGGAAATTCTTCTCCGACATTATCAACGTCCGCACGTACCGCAGCGCGAACATAGATTCGGACCACTACCTAGTTGCAGTATGCATGCGCTCAAAACTCTCGACGGTGCATAACACACGTCCAAGTCGAACGCCGCGACCCAACATTGAGCAACTACGGGACGCCGGAGTTGCCCAGGACTACGTGCAGCAGCTGGAAGTTGCACTACCCACGGAAGAGCAGCTTGGCGCAGCTTCTCTTGAAGATGGCTGGAGGGAAATCCGTTCAGCCATAGGTAGTACTGCTACAGCGGCACTAGGTACTGCAATCCCGGACCGAAGAAATGACTGGTTTGACGGCGAATGCAAACTGTTAGTAGAGGAGAAGAATGCAGCACGGGCGAGAATGCTGCAACACCGCACGAGATTGAATGTGGAGCGATACAGACAAGCGCGGAACAGACAAAACTCGGTTTTCCGAAGGAAAAAGCGTCAGCAGGAAGACCGAGATCGCGAGACGATGGTAAATTTGTACCACGTAAACGACACGTGGAAGTTCTACGAGAAGCTAAATAGTTCGCGCAAAGGCTACGTGCCGCAAGCCGATATGTGCAAGGACTTGGACGGTAACCTTCTCACGAACGCTTGTGAGGTGATTGAGAGGTGGAAGCAGTACCCTGACGAGCACCTCAACGGAGATGCAGCAAAAAGCGAAGGTGGCAAGGCAACAGACCTTGCAGCACGCGCAAAAGACGACATGCTACCGGCCTCTGATCTTCAAGAAGTTGATGAAAAGATCGATCGGCTGAAGAACATCAAAGCAACTGGTGTAGATCAACTACCAAGTGAGCTATTAAAATACGGTGGTGAAGCACTGGCTAGAGCGCGGCACTGGGTAATTGCCAAGATTTGGGAGGGGAGATATTACCGGAGGAGTGGATGGAAGGTGTCGTATGTTAAATCTACAAAAAAGGGCGACAAGTTGGATTGCTACAACTACCGCGCGATCACACTGCTGAGCGCCGCATACAAGGAACTTTCCCAAATTCTATGCCGCCT